GGGGGGCCAGCCGGTGGCCAGCCAAGGTCAGCCCACCTCACTCTGCATTTTCATCCTCTCAAGGGTGTCCAAGAGCTGCTAGGAGTGAGTATGTGGAAACTAGGAATTAAATGACTTACAGACTCACGGTCCTTAGATATATAGATTACACGTGGTTTCTTCGCTGGCACTTCCCTCTGTACATCCAGCTGGTCACAATATCCTTCTGATCTACAGCTGTTGCCTTAAAGTCACCACATTTCACCCCAGAGGCAGCTGCGTTTTAGTGCAGGAATGGATTTCCTCTCGATCTGGTCATTATTGATCATCTCGTTAAGGGGCTCTGAAGTTTTTTGGGGGGACAGAATAAGCACTGTACGGGCACACATCATTAACAGATGGTGTGTTACCAACGAATCGACACAGCATACCCTTTTCTGTTTGGTTTCCTTCTTCTGCCTCAGATGTCACAGTCCAGGCGCTGCGAAATCCGCATCAATTTCACAACAGCAAACACCAAACTGTGACATTACAGAATGACTCCAGCAAGAGGCAAAGGCCAATTACAAGAGACAACTATTTATACATAATTATCTTTCTAATCAACTGTGATAGAAAAAGAGTATGCAAGTGCAGACTCACATGCAAAACGTGATTTTTATCTCCTCCATTCTCCAAGTACAAAGACATAATTTTCTCTCTAGGATGTGTTTTTAGAGTAGCCTTCTATTTGACTTTCCCCATCCACAAAGAGAGCCCAGATAAAATAAGAATTACTAATAATGTACCACCATAACTGAATTTACCTATTAAAACAAGGTTAAATAGATTGTCTTATGCTCTGAGGCATATCTAAACCTGTGACGAGTGGCAACTAAGAACTGACAAAATAGTCATCTATTTCTGATAGTACACATATTCTTTTTACAGCTCCCTTAGGACAGAAATAAAACCACGTCTTCAATTTCAGTTTTGCTTTTCCACGTTTCACTTTCACCCCCCCAGGCTCCAGCCCAGTCCTGCACTAACTCTGCCTCTGAGTTGGGAGCATGTTCGATATCAAAACCCCACAAACCAAACCTGCTCTCCGTAGAAACTGAACCCTCGGCAGGTTTGCTAATGCATACAGACCTCCAATACGTTTCAGACAGGTCTGCTGGGTCACTGCCCCTCTAGTTTTTAACTAAGGGAGTATGTGTGATACTCCAGACCCCCCTACAACGATACAGCAGTCATTATTTACTATTCCTACCAAGTGAGTTTATTTCCATCTTTAAATTTCTTCACGCCAAACACGATTTTGCCGAGCACCTGCAAAGACATCGCTCTTCAGACAGCAAGTCTTGACACCTGCGTGCGTGTCCCCCCTTTCCCAAGTGTGACATTACATCCAAGCAGTCACCTGCCTTGAACTTGGCATGCAGGACACACACGGCGTTTCATGGAGATATTCCCGTCCAATACTTGGAAACACAAAAGGAAAAAAGATCGCAAGCCAAATCCATTAGGGCAAAAAGATCTCATCGGCCGGAGAAGGCATAAAGCCCCAACCAAAATAAATCCCTGCGGCTGGGAAGTCCACCTGTTAAAATGCCTACCAGCGCCTCTATCTTTTCATTATTTATTATTTAAAAAACCCCAACAACAAGACAAACACAGAGCTGTGCTTCTTCCCTGACATGAATCCAAATATTTCCCCTCGCAATCCCTTTTTAAAAAAATCCTCTTTTCCAAAAGCAAACACACCCCGAGTGAACAAGTTACACGCCAGCGGCTCTCCCCTGCCCACGTACAATTAATTAGCTGCGTGGATTTTTAATAAAGCAACCTCTATTCGGCTTTCCTTTGAAATACGCGGATGTACGCAGTCAAGGGGAGGAAAAAAACACCCAAAACACAATAAATCCACAGGAGTTGAATACTAAGAAGGTCGGCTGCTGCTCAAGTGTCATTATTTTTTGCTCGCTTCCCGATTTTACCTTTTCTCCACCTCCCCCCACCCCCCAAAGCAGGATTTACCACGAAACAAGATCCAACTTTATTTTGTGCAAGATCTACCTGGAGAAAAAAAAAAAAAACAAAAAACAAACACTAACACAAGTTACTGAGCTGAATTCATGGGGGGGGGGGAGGGTGTTTTTGAAACAACACGTAACACACTCGCAAAAAAATAATTTAAAAAAAGAGTGGGGGGGTTTAAAAAACAAATAATAGAAGGCGTGCAGTGGTTTCGGGGAGTTGAGGCAGATTGCGGAGTT